CACCACCAGGACATCCACCTCAGGCACATTTCCTATGCTTCTCTGGAGAGCTGATGATGGGATGTGAACTCTATGTTCAAATGTAGGACTCACATCAACCTAAAAAGCATACACGAAAACATAACTTTAAAAAATGTGTTGGTTGTCAGTAATTAGAGTTCATTAATACAAAAATACAGAAATTCAGATCAAATGTAACTTTTTCACTTCTAAAAAGCACTTCAGCTCCAAATGACCTCACCTCTTGAAGCGAGTTTACTTTGAGTTGTTTGATGCCTGTCATGGAGCGGCCTGTTTTGCAGGTCATAATTCGATCCTCGTAACAACTACCAACAGATATTTAACATAGTTCAGATATATAAACATGCAAACAGGGATATAACTGAGGATAAAAAAGACAAACTAATGCAAAGAGATGAGAAGTAAGATCAATTATTTCATAGTGGACCTTTCTCTGCTATTTGATTACTTCATTTGTTCATGGATATACATTTAAAGGAGAAAAAATGAAACTGCAAGAATTTGAGATGAACAGAAATAGATTCTGTTGTATTTGGTTTAAGCATCCTTCAGTGCTTTTCAATTTGCACAAAATAATGCTGAGCTGTGAAACTCTGACAATAATTAAATAATAATGTCCATATTATCACAGTATCACATTCTACAGCTTTGTCAATTCCAAGCAGCTAACAAAATCCAAAAGAAAAATAAGAAAGAAATATAAAAAGTACAGTAAATCATCCAAATAATGTTTCTAGATAAATCAAGTATGTAACAAGTTTAAATACACGCCAACATACACAATACACTTAAACAATAATACAAAATTATGGTTATTCCAAAGTGTTACACTGTGTTCTTGTTTGAAACAGCAGTATTTGTTACAATGAGTATATGTTAGAGGCTGTATACTAATACTCTAATGATTCTTATTTGATGATGAAGCCATGTAAAACCACTGAAAAGCAGCCACTGTTGAAAACAATTAACAAGTACTGACAGCATTTATTCATTCATGTAGGACAATTTATTTTTCACAAACAGGAATGCGACATGTACAGTAGAAGCTGCATTACCCTATCCATGATGGGTCACTGTCTCGGCATTCTTTAAGAACATTTTTACAAAGGTCTGTCAAAGTAAAACACACAGAAAAGGAAAGACCAAAATTAGCATAATGAATACATTTAAACAAGACTGGAAGCTGATAAAACGTCTAAGTGGCATCTAACTCCAGAGACACATGAGAGACAAGATGTTATTTTACAAGTATTTGATCAGCACTTGATAAAATTGCAGGTAGTTTTGTGAAACTGGTTGACTTAGAGTCTTTAATAGCTATTGGTAACAAAGAAGCTGGGTAATTTTACTTTTTCAAGGATTCATGACTTTGAGATTCACTTCACAAGTATACTCCTTTCAACATAAGAGTGATAACATGGTAGGTTTACTCACCAATAGCTCGGGACATAGAAAAACAGAGGGCTGTTGTGATAAAAAGTATAATCCACATTGCGTCTCACTCATCAACAGATATAGATTTGCTGTAAGAGGTCCAGAGGGTATTTTTCTGTCTGGTTGACGTTTGCTGAATGAGGGGGAGTTTCATATCTACATATATCACATGCTTTAACAGATCTGTGGTTCACAGCTCAGAAAAGGAAATGACTCACATCAGGCAATTTCTTTCAGTGCTACCACAATAATCAAGTACTTTTAAGTACTAAAGAAGTGCTGATACTTACAGCTTGCTGAGGAAGTAAAACAGGAACTTGCGCCACACCAGTTCTACAGGTTGCAGCACACAGTAAAATAAGATGCAAATCTTTGAAAATAAAGTCTTTGGAGGTAACTGGACTGCTGTATTTTTCTATTCTTCCTGACCTGTTTCTCTTTACATAGTCTATTTCATTTCTAATCAGAATAGCTCATGTATTATTCCAAAAATTCCGTTAGTAGTGGTTTGCTTTAAACTTACCTTAGATCTAATGAGGTTTGGTGTGATGGACTTGTGGTATTACAGGTTTATCATTTTAAGTAGTGGCAAGGAAAGTTTTCTGTTCTTCCTCTGCTAGTGGGTAACCAGATCGACAAGAAGATGTGTCAGACACCTTCATAAAGACATGCACAAATTATTCAAAATTATATATCAGGTCTAAGAACTTCAACAGATGTCATGAAAAGTGTAGCACTCCACCCGTTATACTGAGTCTAAACCCTCTTACATCAGTTTAGACCCACTATTTTGGGTGTTGGATTAGTTATTGCATCAGATTCCACAATGGTTTTGGTATGGACAGGAATCAAGGAAACTAACCATAAACCCCTTGCCTGCATGTTACACTTAAACACTAATGAAAGAATTGATCCCAGACAACTTAAGCACAAGAACAGAACATTTACTGTACTTTGGTGCAGCATAAAAATGTACAAAAACACACATTTTTTATAAATTCAAATGATATCACAGTTACTTTAGAAAATGAAATATCCATCCATCCATCCATCCATCCATCCATCCATCCATTCGCTTCCGCTTATCCTTTTCAGGGTCGCAGGGGCGCTGGAGCCTATCCCAGCTGTCATAGGGCGAGAGGCGGGGTACACCCTGGACAGGTCGCCAGTCTGTCGCAGGGCCAACACACAGGGACAGACATTCATTCGCACATTCACACCTATAGTGACAATTTGGATTATCCAATTAACCTATCCCCACAAGAAAATGAAATAGATATTTTAAATTAAATAATACCATATGAAATATTATTAAGCAACACAGAAGCAGGTTATCACATCTTGGTGGTGTTGTGCCAAAATGTGATTGCCTGTCAAAAACTGATTTTCGGTATTTACCAAGAAGCGATGGCCCGTAGTTACACTGCTACCCCCCCCCCCCCCCCCCCAAACAAAAAAAAAACAAAAAAGCAAACCACACTTGTTGGCCTATGCTATGTGAAATGTGTCAAATATATCCCTCATGAATGATATCAAGTCATCTTGAGCCACAAACAACATTCCTATCACAAGGTAGAAGCCACAATCAGTTTTTGGCAAAGTGCCTTTTAGTTTACTGTCCAGTTAAAAAGTCTCGTTGACATTAAAAAATGGCTTTTTAAGAGTAATCTGGCGAAGAGGACAACAGAAATTGCAACAAATATAGCAAGAGTTCTATAAAGATATTTTAAGTGGCCAAAAAGTACTGGACTGGTTATGAATGTACAGTAACATACATGCAGTCATAAAGATATAAAGTCATAACTGTTATTTTATTTTTATTTTTATGCATAACCCCTTTGTAAATCCTGTTCACTAAAGTCCCTTGACCAATATAAGTAAAGACACTGCACATAAAAATGGAAACACAGTGGCTCTGTCGGTGGCTGCTCACCAGTCCACTGAATCCAGTTCTCGGCTCCTCCTGAGGACACCGCGCTGTCTGTGCTACAGCGCGCCAGCAAGTCACTTTACAGCTCTCCGACGGTCCATATCAGGGTCCGCTGATCAGACGAGTTGTCGCGACCAACCTTTAACCTTAGCAGTTGCAGTTGAAAACACCTTTCTACACTGTGGTGCGACTCTCGGAAATGTCACCTCACACTGTTAACGTCTGGTCACACACAAACAAAGCCAAGTATGTCGCACGTGTTGAACTGACACCCGTGTGTTTCTCCGCTATACGTTCTCTCCTTCTCAGTCTCCGCTCAAAACTAATATGCTACCTTCACAGATCTCTAGAACATTCGAAGTTGCATACGAGGGAAATTATATTTTGTGATTCATATGATAGTTTTGTTGCTCTAATTAACTACATTTACCTTTGTGACGTATTAAAATGCATATTACATTTAGATTATATTTAGATCACATGGGTTTAACTGTGAATACCATATATTATTGTTGCATTTAATCCCATGGGAATTTTGAGTACTTACTCCGGAATTCTCATCTCTTACCTTTGGCCCCTTTGGCCAAACCTCAGAGAACTATTACAACCCACTGAGGTTGAGAAAAGAACTGAGGATTTAAACATGTAGAAGTTAAGAAAGTTGATTTCTCTAAAAAAATGTCAAACTGAAAACAGACCACTGTTGCACCCTTTATTTGAAGTCTGGAATAAATGGTGCATTAAATGCTGTAATAATAAAAATTGAGTCTCTCTGGACCACACCAGGAAAGGAAGAAAAGTTAAATCTCCATAAGGAGTTCATTGCAATGGATCTATTTTACTCTTTTTCCGGATCTTTTCCAGATGTTAATATTAGTTCACTAGCTCAGCTTTGCAAAATCCACAGTTCGGTAAATTGTTTATCATATGCATGGTATTACATATCTCAATGAATTCTGAATAAATCAGTCAGACCGACTTATCACACTGATGACATCACTATATTATAAATCGGACTTATAAAGAATTGTTATCTATTTAACAGGGGGTTGTCCAAAGGTCACTGGGCTATTGGTGCATGTGCTGAAATGAAAGCACAGTTAACCTAACATTAACCTGGATGGATACAGAGATATTTTTCACTAGCATATTACATTTTGAAGAAATGGTCTAATTCTTCAGTGTGTCGTGTGAGAAAGTCTGAAAAGGGCAAAGTTAATCATGTGTTCAGGCCCATAGAAACTTAACAACACTTCAGTGGGGTGGTTGTGGTTCATGTGGTAGAGCAGATCAGCTACTGATTGGAAGGTTGGCGGTTTGATCCTTGGCTTCCCCAGTCTGCATGTCAAATATCCTTGGGCAAGATACTGACCCCAAGTTGCCCTCTGATATGTTAATTGGAGTGTGAATGTAGATTAGTTTGCACTTGAGCTTAGAAGTGCTTGGGTAAATGAGGCATGTTGTATAGAGTGCTTTATGTACTCCGGGAGAGTAGAAAAGCGCTATATAAGAATCAGTCCATTACCAGTCTACCATATATCATGTACAACTTTATTCAGAAGCATACATCAGAATATACTTTAATCTCTAAGGAAATTATGTGGGTTATAGTTGCTCCAAGACACTAACAGTAACAGACTAAAGTAATTAAATATGTTACAGAGTTTTTAAAAAAAAAAGAAATAGCTCTAATATATACAAATTGCTCAATTATACATATCAAGAATATTAGAGGTAAAATATATATGATTGACTAAACAGAAAAAAATAAATAAACAGAATATAAACAGAAAAAATATTAAATCATATAGACAATACAGACATACTATAAAGCAATAGTATTTAAAGTTTCAGTGTGTTTTTAAATCTAACATAACAGAAGATTACATGTAGAGCAGAAATGGTAGAGAGTAACTCTAATCAGATTTGATTTCTGTAGTTCTCACAGGAGCTGAAGATGTTCGGTCCTCCTTAGCCCTCTTTCTCTGCTTCTTTGCTGACAGACAAATCCACAGGAAGATAAAGAAACCTTATCAAGAAAACCAGAGAAACAAATGAACAGATCAGACACAAAATGCCCAAATCACTTGCACACAAACACAAACCACTAAACTGACCTTGTGTGGAGTTGAGGATACAGAAAAGATAGAGAATGGGGTAGTTGATATATCCAGAACCCAGGAAGGCCAGGCCCCAGGTGGTACCCATCAGGCAGGTAAGACCAAACAATGTTAGGCCACTCTTACAGGATGCGTTAAGCCTCTCTCGGTCTCCCCACAATTTCCCCTTAGCTGTGGCTCCTGTCTTTAAGGTAGTCTGTAACACTTGTTTCATCTTACATATGCTAGAAGCCACTGCCATGAGAATGCCAGTGTTAAAGATAAAAACAAGGGTGAAATATACCAGGTTCAAGGAGTAGAAGAAGGTGTCGTCAGTGATCCAGCAGCTGTAAAACAGGCAGAGCTGTCAAAGTACAGTTTCAAAATCTGTGGCTGCATAGTCTGCCTACAGTCCAGCATACAAAGAACAGAAACAGTATAATTTCATAATGATATGAAACTTGGTTGTTGGTACTTTATGGTTTCAGCAGTACGCACTTCTTTGTAAGACAGATCTTACTTTAATAGGCAGGAACATCCTGTAAAGAACATTTTTTCCAGTGCGTTATTTAATTTATTTGCTATCCTGATTAAAAACTACATAATGTTCAGCAGGTTTTTAAATATGTCTGTGTGGCATGAAAATTCTCACCGTGGCTACGTCTACACTAGCCTGGATAAATTTGAAAACTAAAATGTGTCATCGTTTTCGAAAAGGCTCCGGGTTCGTTGTCTACACTGCGACGTGAAAACTGCATTTTCAAATGTATCTGCTTTGGAGAGTGTTTTCAAAATGCTCCATTTGCCAGTGTGGATGGAAGGCCAAAACGCTTTCAAATAAAAACGTATTCATGTGGACATGGCCTGTGTCATGTGTAGCAGACAGGTTGCCCTGCAAACTCAGTCATGGTTTTGGATTCCTATTGCTAAAGGCGCATAGTGCTAGTTTATAGTCTTGCCAAAAGCAGGTTTACTTACATCGAACTAGTTTGGTTGGTGTCAGCCATGGTCATCTGTTTAACTCCATAAAACTGTTTGCAATCCATCACTCCTACAGAGACTGCCACAATTACAGCAGGAATACCTAAGAAGCACACAATAAGACACAGACACAGTTTAACACCAAGTTATTTACTATCAAAGAGGCACCCAGCATATGAAAGACTTCATTCATAAGTTTAGGGAAATCTGGCAGTCAAGTGAGTCTGAAGAAGTCAGACATATTTCTAAGAGATGTTGTTCAATTTTAACAGTGTTCATTAATCATACAGTGAATGTAGAAGGAAATCTCAAAAGGGGTGGCTACTAGGCCTGGTATTGATATTCTTTAAGCTGGCATACACTGTGCGATTTTTTTCAGTCGCGTTATTCAGCTTCTGCTCAAACTTCACAATTGACTCAGAGGTGTTACATCCCCCAGGAGGATGTCTCTTCTCCCTACTAACTCTTTGTTTCGTCTAGGCTCCACCTCCTCTGTCCTGATTGGATGCTGCTCAGAGTCCGGCTAATTGTTAATCAGCAGAGCACTACTTAAGGCCTGTGGAGCTGTGCTTCTGTGCCCTCTGGCCATTTTGGTTGCCATACCTGTACAGGCTGGCATGCCTTTGTGATTTGTATGAGCATTGTTGTTTTCATGTTCAGACTGCTTGTAGGGGAGAGCTGCCTTTTGTTTTGACATCCCGTTTTCTCCTGTTTATGTGTTGTTAGGTAGGTTATGGTTATAGGTTGTATATTTTGTTTTCTTTGGAGTTAGGTAAGTTTCTTTTATTTTTACATCAGGGATGTTTTGTTTGTTATGTTGGCCATGGCTCTCCCTGAAGTTATACCTCAGTCTGAACCCAAATCTCATCACCAGCATTAAATAAACCTTTTAAAGTTACCATCTTGGCTCCTCCTTCACTATCCACCTTTATGTTCGTCCCTTCAACCCCCTAGACTAGCCAGGGGACGTAACACAGGGGTTAATCGTTCGTAGTTCACGATGCAGGTTCACACAGATTTCGCAGCTGCTCTGTTCCCAAGTTCTACTGCGTGACTGACAGCCTTGAGTTTGAAATCCGCTTCATAATCATGTCTCTTAACAGGTGTCATTTGTGGTCCTTATACACACACAATATGGCAATATTACGTTGAAGCACAGTACGTATCACTCTGCGAGGCTCCTGACTACGGTAGCCGTAATGCTCCGACAATTCCAGCAAGTGGTGCAGCAATGTAGCTTAACAAAGTCGTACTAAAACATTTTTGACAGATTTCTGAGTGCTGTGTACCACATAAAAGCGGTCCGTGGTCAGTAAGCACAACCAGAATTTATAAATAAGGCGCACTATCGATTTTTGAGAAAATGAAAGGATTTTAGTGTAAGCTTATAGTCCGAAAAATACGGTATACGAGTTTGGTAAGGTGGTTTGTTTCGGGCAGGAGGCTGGGAGACTTTGCGGTCTACAGCACGCAGTTTCACACAGTCTTCATTTTGCACTTTATGGCGCTGTTGTAAATGGTGAAAATACTATTAGTCCTCCAGCCTTTAGTCGGGATTAGGGGTGGGTTTTGATTATCGATTTATTGATTAAAATCGATTCTAGCTTGGATAGCGTGATATCGATTTATTAAAATGCTGAATCGAATTTTAAATATACATTTATTTTGCTCGAAACGCCTGAATCTCAGGTTAAACATCAAAAAACTTCAACAACCACCAAACAGCTAAAACAGTAAACGACAGCAGGTACAGGGATTCTGCACAAAGATGTAAACACAAAACGCGGACCCACCGACTGATCAGAATCAGTGAGATGTCGCCTTTCTCACCTGACAGCACGGGCATGGACACGCCGTCGGGGCTGAAAGCCGAAAGCTTTGTGTTTACGTCCTTTTTGCGCTCGATTCTGATGCTGCAGGTTTTTATCTCTCTCCAAACAATATTGACTGAACCAGCAGCAAAAGAAGATCGCTTCACATTTCGCTTCACATAAACATCGTCATGAATTCCCTCTGACTTTTGCTGTTTTGCTTCCACCATGATAAAATCATGCTTAGTGCAGAGCTCTCTCTCTCTCTCAGGAATTGTTTCCCGTCTAAAACGCTCTGTTTTCTGCATTATTCACTTGCTTCGCTCTCTAATAAAACCTCTGTAACTTTGCTCTGCTTCACTTCAGTAGCATCAGTTAATGTTCATATGCTGATTAATGGTTTTCTTGCAAGCAGTTGATCGTTGTTTACGTGCCTCACCCTCCCTCCCTCCCTCCCTCCTTGTTCTCAATTCTTTAACTTCCTCATTTCTATTTAGTGCATGGGGATCGGCCAGGCCTGGGAGCCATCGCCAGTCCCCTTCGAGGCCTTCCCCAAACCGCAGCTCAATTCGTGTCAAAGCATTCACTTTTACCTACCAGTACTTTGTCAAACCTAATATGAGGACGTGGGCCCAGCTAGTGAATTCAGTGAAGTAGAGAGGGGAGTCAGAGTAACGTAGCGTAGGCAAAAGTGGGAGAAAGAGAGGTAAACTTGCAGCTCCACAAGTATAATTATAACATAGCATAGACTATATCGATATAAACAATATTGTCACATCAAATATCTCTTATAAAAATATATCGATATATTTAAAAACTTGATATATCACCCAGCCCTAGTAGCTACCCATACTTTCACATTCAATAGTGATTGCAGCCATTGTCTACATGATCTCTGGTTCAGTGCAAGTTTCCTCATAAACCCTTTCCTCTTTTCTCATGTAGTAAATACCGTTGAAAATTTTGCAATACTCACCCCAACCCGCAAGTGAAAGTTTCAGTAGGTAGTGTTTGTAGTAGGTGTTAAACACCTTGATCAGCATTAGATAGAGGTGAAGTCCCTCTATGGCCATCCAGGTGAAACTGCAGAGCAAGGAGTAATGCATGAATGCTGCAACAAACACACACACGCCCTCTAGGTCCAGTGTAGCTCCCCACTCAGTCAGCAGGAAGGATGAATTGAGCAGAAACAAGGCCCCACTCAGGGATACGTGAATAGATAGTGAGTAGTCCAGTTTGTGGTTACTGAAGAGGAGACAAATAAAAAAACAATCAGATATGTGAAGTCCACAGACAAGCACATTATTATGCATGCTAATTTTATGATACATACCGACTGAAAGCATACATCAAAAGAGACAAAGCAGTAAAGAAAGCTGACAGACCGCAGCCTATGTAACTGATGTATGACAATATTTTCCAGTGGACTGCTGCAATTTGACCTCTTATCTGCAAAAGTGATGAAAATTGTCTGTAGTTTACATATTTACTTTTACCAATATCTAAAAACAAGTGAGAAAATTAGGAAATAGGGGATTTTCAGTCGCACCTAACCTCTGGAACCCATATTGAATAAAGATCTCTATAATTAGATTTATTTTTCTTATATCTTAAAACTGAAAGCGGCTAAAAACAAGAAGTTCATCAGGAACAACTTACCAGAAGAACAGCAAACGGTGTAGTATGGTCACAATAGCACGCAATGTCCTGTTCATCTGATTGGTTGAAGCTTTGAGTCTCACATCCATCAGTTTTCCAGGGTGAGCCTAAAAAATAAGTAAAACTTCGTTCTTTGTACTTGAACAGTTTCCTATTTTAAGTGCAGTAATCTATACATCAGTGCCTTTTCATTACTGCTTTCTTAACTTCACTTAAGCATATGCAAAATTTTTAAAAGGCAAGAGATAGAATGTGGGGCAGGCCGCCAGTCCATCACAGGCCTAACTGAGGATGCACATCCACAGATGTGGATCCACACATCCACATCTAGAGACGAAATACAATACAATACAACTTTTGTATAGTACATTTAAAACCAGAGATACACCAAAGTGCATCACAAAATCCAATAAAACAGTAGCAAAATACAAAAGCAGATACGCTAGCAGGTGGGAGGCATTGATTAACCAAGCATACAAGTACACAGATAAGCAAGTAAGACTTAAAGATAAAATCGATAAAACAATATAAGCAAAAGAGGAAAATGGGAGGGCAAGAAAGTACACTTAAAAGGCATGCCCTAGGAAGCCGGGAAGGCTAAACTAAAAAGGTGGGTTTTCAAATGAGACTTGAAGGTCTGGCTTTAGTCAGACGAGCGAATAGCATGAGGGAGGTTGTTCCAGAGGTTAGGTGCGACTGAAGCGAAGGCACGGTCACCTCTGGTTTTCAGCTGTGACCTAGGATGCACCAAGAGAAATTGGTCAGATGATCTCAGTGTTCTACTGGGAATATACACACTGAGGAGATCAATAAAGTAGCTAGGTGCGATATCATTTACGGCTTTAGAGGTGAGCAGTAGGATTTTGAAATCAATGCGGTATTTAATTGGAAGCCAGTGGAAGCCAGAGAGAATTGGGGTGATAAACTCAAGCCTACCAGTACCAGTTAGAAGGCGAGCCGCGGCATTTTGGGCGAGTTTCAATCTATGAAGCAGGGCAGAACGGTGTGTTTGTAGTAGAAATGAGTGTAGTAGAAATGAGTGTACAAAGAGGTTAGAGTACTGAATAGAAACACCCCCCTCCCCAGGAAGAACATGCAGAAATAAAACAGGAAGCTCTCAACAAAAGATTAGATTAGAGGTTACAACGACTGCATCAAAATACAGTTATGCTTGTCTCTGCAGCAATGTTGCACTGTGTCTATTACACTACATGTCCTAATTCACGTACAAAGATCCATTTACTTACACCAAACTACAGGAGTTTTAAAACACCATGTTTATAAAGCCAATATAGCGTAAATAAATCAAGCCAGTAGTTAAAGATTCCCCAAATTGTCAGTTAACAAATAATTAGGTAAAAAATATTAATGTGTCCAATCTCATTACTTTGGTGTTCATCTTGAAGTAACCAATAAAACTGATATATACTTACCATTTTCATCAAATTCATCAAAATAGTGACAGACTAACTGTGAGTCATTCTGTAAAATTAGAAAAATGTTAATAATGCAAAGTCAATTAAGCTTCTTAAACAGAATAAAACTAGTAAAAGAAAAGTTCTATAAAACTTATGATGATGATGAAATCAAGTCACATCTTTTTTCCCCTTTTTATGAGCCAGAACATTTAGTGTTGCACAATTTAGTGGTTCAGTGTATGATTAGGCAACAGACACCGAGATTATCAGACACAGTGATCTCAGTTGCTCCCTTAATCACAAGGAGGAACTGCATGTTTGATCTGACAGACTGTTATGCTAGATGCCTTTACTGCCACAGCATCAAAGGGACTTTTGACATGTTGGACAAATATGTAAACCATTACACCGTGGAACCATAATCCGATTACAAATTTTCAATAACTAAAAGAATAAACATTTCCGTACAAACAGACTTACATCCAGTTGACCTTTGTCTGTTTTAACTCTAAAGGTCATCTTGATTGGAGAAGCCAGATTTCTGAGGCGCTCTTCCCCCAGCACCTCTATCCTGAGAACCACTGATAAAATCTTTTCCTGATCAAACTAACAAAGGAATGTACAGTAAGAGAGGAAATAAAGACCATTATTATATGGTATAAATACAAATGTTTTATGTACATAATTTGTTTTAAATGGGGATAATGCTCATGACTGAGAATATAAAAAAGTTCATCAAAAGATATTGAAATAGTATAAAAGATTTAGGATATACTTGGAAATGGTCGTGATACATGAAGCTGACCAAGCCAATAATCCTCTTCTCCTCTGGGATGGTCTTTAGAGCATCGACAGGCAGCCAAATCTTAGGGATGAATGAATGGTTCTGAGGGTGCAGCTAACAGTGGATGGGGAAAAAAAGTCCATTTATATCCTTCTGCAGAACAATTTAAGGGTAGTTTTAATCAAGCATACAGTATAAGTAACTAGATCAAAGACAATACTTTTAAACAACCACTGTCATGCTATCTGAGTCCATATTATTCCCTTGTGTTTTTCATCAACATCTGGCTTGTGTACCTGGGGAGCTTCTATTTCCACTATGGAATTCACTGGGGCCTTGCTGATGTTGATCACATTCAGAGACAAGTACTGCTGGTTGTAGGTACTGGACAATGCAGCCTCAGTCTGGGTGTTATTTATGAGGGTATGGATGGCCTTTCTTTCTTCACTGCAGAAATAAAATCCACATGTTTGCAAATGAAAGAACATCTTCTGCAATCAGATTTATACATTTGCATTAAATGAACTAGCATTTGGCAACCACAAATGCTAGTGTGACGTGAAGGCACGAAAATTTGTGCCAAGGTGACCCGACTGTCATTAAGATGTCTCAGTCTGACCCAAATTGATGGATCAACCATCCTGTGAGCAATTTTGGTCACAGGGCTAAAGATTAACAGTACTAAAGGGAAAAAATAGAACAAAGGAAAAAAAGACAAATACATGTGCCTACTCAACAGCATGTGCAGGAGTGCCTGCTGCAGGACTCCTACTTACTTTATAAAGGTCCACTTGAGTTTTTGATTATTATTGAAAAGGTTCAAACACGAGTTTCTTATGTTGAAGAGTGTTATCAAGTTTTTCTGTTTATAATCCAGTGAATCAATCAGTCGCAAGATGGAACTGTTCAGGCATGGGTACAGGTAGCAAGTGTGATCTGGAAAAGAGACACGAAAGAGATTAAGAAAAAGAGAGGACAAGTGGGAATGGCTGTGAATCAGCAGTTCGGCAGAACAATTTCTATCCTAATCAGACTAGATTTCAGCACACTTACATTTTCCCAGTTGATAAATTGTTCCATTTTCAGGTGTTGTTTCAGGCTTAACATCCAAGCAGTAAGACGTACCATTGAACCATGCCTTTTCTCCAGGGATGCATAGAAAGACGCAGGAAGTCTGACAGTGCATCTGACAGTCCACCGTACTTTGATGTTCAGTGATGTTTACATTAGTTCCATTAATTTCAGTGGTGTAAGTAGAAATGGTGAGGCACACTGTGCACAGACACAGAAGACAAAAAAAAGATGTAACTCACATAAACTTACACATATTCAGTCAGGGTTAAGTTAAGAGCAACTATTCCAGAGAGACCAAGTAGTACACATATAGTGCTGTGAAAAAGTTTAAGCCCCCTCCCTGATTTCACAGTTTTTTTCTTTTTTTTTTTCTTTTTTCTTAAATGACATCAGAAACAGCAGTATGCGACATTACGTGATGGCAGAGCTTCAGTTCATCCTTTGTCTTTTTTTTTTTTTTTTTTTTTTTTTATAAATAGGACAGGGGGAATGAATGAGAGAAAGAGGGGAGAGAAAGAAAGAAAACCAAAGGGAGAAGAGACGGTGAGAGGGGGGGGAAGAGAGAGAAAAAAAAAAAAAGAACTCCTGGGTCACCTGTATGGAGAAAAAAAAACAAACAAACAAAAAAAACAAACAGAGGAGACAGCAAACAACAAAGAGTAACATAATAATAGAGAAAACAAAGCACCATCACAATAAACTAGCTAGTCATAGATATCAATATTTACTAAATAATAAACGATATTGTGCAGCACGCAAGATAGACAGCGCACAGTGTGCTTTGAGGCAGCAGCCAAGAAAGCTTTAGTCCGCGTCTGTGAATACCCATGTGTGCATACCTGTGTGGATCAGCATGCTTGCATTCCAAAGGTTTCTCCATGTAATGATCTGCTAGGGAGTGTGGGGGGGCCACAGCCCCGTCCTCCAGGGTGTGAAGCGGGTATGGAGGAGATCAAAACTCCAGACATCCAGAGGCCCCCAGAACACAAGAGACCATGGAAGACCAACAGAGGGGCAGCCGCGCCACTGTTCCAGTAAGAGCTGAGGAGAGTCCCAGATGAGGGCTCGCCCAGCAGCCGCGGAGCAGAAGTCAGGGGGAGTTGCAGTGATGCGCCCGTGAG